TGCGGAACCTGACTTGTATACAATTGATGCCATGATCTTGCATTTAGACCGACTGAGATTCTTCAACACTTACAGAGGGTCCTAGATCCTTGCTATATATCTTGTTGTCTTGATACCTTGTTATCTTGATACCTTGCTACCTTCATACCTCAATCAATCTCGAGTATTAGTCAACATGCCTTCCTGGTCCACCGAAGCCATCATTGCGTTCGTCACGCTACTCGGAACGTGCCCACCGACCGGTTTACTGTTATGGCATCTGGTAAAGAGTAGAAGCGCAAGGGGATGCAAGAGTCTGGGTTCGTCGTTCCATCATACTTTGCATTTACACCTACTGACGTTGCTAAGTAGACGTGGAGAGAACCAACGGAATTGAACTCGAGAGACGCAGAACGATGTGATACGGAGACAGTTCCTCCGACTCTACCTGTGTATACGAGCAAACAATGTATCTTCATCATTACTCCTCCCACCTCCCGGAGTAAGACATTGGCTACATGTTAGAGCGACTGGCATAGCTTTGGAATAACCTTGGAGTCTTTGGAACTTTGAGCGCAGTCTGTACATCCATTGTGTTCGGGTTAATGTTAGGAACAATAACGCCATCTGACACGAAATTCGAGACCTTAACGAGTTTTGGTATGACTACCGCCTGCCGAGAGTCAACGATATGATCTTGCTGATGTATGAACGTCACAGGCGATGGTTTTCCGCTGGACATGGACTCACCTAGGTACTTTTCTTCTTCTGCAAGATCTTGGCTTTGAGTTTCATCTGTGCTTCGCGGTTCCTTTCTTTCCATGAATTGTTTTTCTGCTGTTTTTCCTTTTCTTCGGCGCGTTGTTGCTGCTTCTCTAATATGTTGTTAGCCTGTTCAACACGGCGAGCAAGATGCGCAACATCGCCTACCATGCCTTTTGTCCTCCAGCCTCTTTTCTCTCATCTTTCGCCGCAAATTTCTCCTCTTACAATCACTGATATACGCAAATAATCGATCGCGCTCACAGTCGAAGAAAGGTGAGATCTTGGCACTCAAGTTGCGTAGGAAGTCAACACCTAGTGGCGCGTTGAACAAACGGAGGACAAAGGGCTGAAAGCTCAGCGCTGCCATGACTGCAACGATGGAGAGGACGTGTTCTCATACAGTGAATATGAAGATACAATTACGCATCCTACCTGGCTTGCTCATATATAGTACTTTAGAAGCACCTTGAAGGAGCAGCCCGCGTTATGCAAGGGGTGTCCGCTTCCGGCGAGGCTCCTTGCACTCATCGCGCTGATTACTTGTCACCCTGAACATGGTTACGGAGCACAATGGTGGTGGAGTCGAGGCGACTGTCTTGACAACGTAGTTTTGACATACGACCCGTGGCCCAGTGTACGAAGTTTCTCTAGACCTCGCAGCAAGTACGCGCCTGGCCTCTGTTGGTCGAAGCGGGGCGAAGAGGCACGTGCGCTAAGCGTACGTCATCGTCCACCGCGCCTTCACGTACTCGTCAGCCAACAGTCAGCCCTGAGCGTCAAAGATTTCCTGCTTGCCAAACAAGCGCGCTGCACTCCTTTTCGAACCCTCAAAATCCCTATCACACGAACATCGAGCAGTACACAGATTGCAGTCATGGCCTCCAACCACAACGACAACCCGTGGGCGGACCAAGGAAACCAACAAGGCCAGAGCAACCCGAGCCACAACCCCTACCAAGCCTACCAACCAGCGCAAGACCCGCCTCCGAATCCGTATGCTCAACAGCCACCCCCAAATCCGCTAGGCCAACATCCTCCCCAAGAGCCGTATGCGCAATACCCCCCTCAACACCAGGATACCTCTCCATGGAGCCAAGAGCCAAGCCAAGCACAATCGCACAATCCATTCATGCAGTCCCAACCCCATGGACTCTCTGAGCAACCCTACCATCAGCAACAACAGCCTCAGCCTTCTTATCCAAATCAGTCTTCCTACCCTGGACAAGACGAAGTCCCACCAGGTCTACCACCTCGTCGCACAGCTACGGAGATGGCACTTCCCACCGGACAGGACCGCTCTCACCAAATTGAGGTCATGCAGAGTTACGAGGCAGCAGGAAGGAAAGACGATGATGATGATAACGTCGAAGTGCTCCAACGCGAATTCCCGAAAATCGATGGAAGTCTGATCGCGGCGATCTACGGAGATACCAAGAGCTTGAGCGCGACAAGAGAGATGTTAGGTGAGCTGGAATGAGAGAACTACACGCTCCGTGAAAATGTGGGAATGCCACCAGACGGTGGAACTGGAAAGGAGTACGAGCATCAAGATTATCTTTTGCGGCAATACTCATGAGTCTCATTATGGAGGGTTGTGCCGCGGCATGAAGGTGATGTACAAGCACGGTACACATACCTGAGATGTACTCTTACTTATCAAATACTCTCACGAAGTCTTTTTCCACATTCTCATCTGCGTATATCGAATCCACTCGACGTGTTGATATTTCAGGAAAAGCGAATCCATCATCTCTATCAACCAAAACTTGCAGGGAGCTTAAGATCTTTATCTATACTCCCAGATGCCCGGGCATCATGCACGGGTATTCACCCTTGTCCTCGCAGTACTCCGATCCGAGGCTCTGATCACGGACATAAGCCTCCCCTACGCGCATCGCGAAATCGTTCGCACGTTTTCGAGACCCCTGGCTTGACAGCTGATGATATGGCAGTCCAGGCTTGTACGATGCGACATTCCATCAACAAAAAACAACAAGACAGTACGAGTCATCATTTGTGCTACCTGGAGTTCATCCTGACGGCTGACAGGAACCAGTGAAATCACCTGGTGCTTCAATCGCGGCAAACCTTCCGCACTCAGGACGCGGCATTTCCTAAAGCGGAACCCCGCATTCTCGCCCAGCCGGCCCAGCTAGCATGACTTCAGCCCAGATGCAACGCCATGAATGTATCTGTTCGAAGCCTTGTTCTCGCGCAAGCTTTGACATTCCTCACCTCCGCATTTGCTTCCCCGCATATCCATAATTTCCCCGGACACGGTCCGCTAAGAAATTCCACATGGATACCTCGCGCTACATTAGGAGCATCGACGTTAAACTGGATGAGGAGATGCCGGTGCACATCTCTACGGGGTTGCGAGTATAAAGGATACATGATTGCGGCCCACATGTTTGGCTCACGATCATACTGTTCTGCAGTCCCTTCCTGCTTACCAGACTATTGGGTTCAGGGTTTTCTTCATTATGTTTGAACTCAGAGGCAAGAGCCTCATCGCAGTCATTCTGTTGACCTCTGGTCTTGACTTCCTTCTCTTCGGATGTAAGCCTGAAGCAACTCACTTTACATCGTGGTTCGATAGCTAACACGATTGAAGATGATCAAGGACTTTTCGGCGGTATCTTGGGTGGCCAGCGCTTCAAGGATACCCTCGGCAACCCGAACCCAACGATGACGGGGCTAGTTACCGCTATCTATGATATTGGATGCGCGCTCGGTGCCGTCGTGGCTTTCGTCTTCGGTGAACGCATCGGACGCAAGCGTTCTATCATCCTCGCCAACCTCATCGTCGTGATCGGTGCTGCTATACAGACCGCCAGCTTCGACTACTGGCAGATGTTTGTCTCGCGCATCATTGGTGGTATCGGCGTCGGTTTGTCAACGGTTGCAGTGCCAATCCTACAGTCAGAGACATTGCCGGCGCACAACCGTGGTTCGCTGCTCGTCGTTCAGTCCGCTCTGATCATCATCGGTGTCGCAGTCGCTTCTTGGCTGTGCTTTGCGACACTGTACGCCGAAAGCTCACTGCAGTGGAGATTTCCTGTCGCTTGTCAGATCCTCTTCTCGCTCATGGTCTTGGCGCTCTGTCCATTCCTGTGCGAAACACCGAGATGGCTTGCATCGCGTGGAAGAATTGACGAGGCGAAACACACTATCAGCCGGCTTTTGGACAAGCCTCTGGACGACGAAGAAGTGCAAGGTCAACTCCAGGAGATTCTCGACGCTATTGCGGCAGAGAGCAGCGAAGAGGAACCCACCTGGGGCGAAGTCTTTAGCAACGCCACTAAGACACGCAATCTGCACCGTGTTGTTCTCGGAATGGGCCCGTACATGATGAATCAGTGGAGCGGTATTAACGCGCTGTGCTACTATCTCGCCTATATCTTCCAGCAGTACCTCGACTACTCTCCGAGCATGTCTCTCATCCTTGCCTCCGTGGCCTTCACCCAGTATGCCGTGTTCTCTTGGCCACCTTACTTCTACATCGACAAGATCGGGCGTCGATGGTCAGTCATGGGCTCGTCAGCCGGTTGCGCAGCATGCATGGCTATCATCGCCGGATGTCTGGCGAAAAACAGCTTTGCCAGCGCGGCAGCAGCTGTAGCCTTCATCTTCTTGTATCTCGACTGCTTCACTCTCGGTATATTGCCTGTATCATGGTCCTACTCAGCCGAAATCCAACCTCTCCGTGTCCGCAACAAGGCAACAGCGGTTGGCGTATTCTCGCATTGGATGTCAAACTTCGTGGTCGTCATGGTCACCCCGATCGGTCTTGACAACATCCGTGGCCATTACTTCTGGGTTTGGGCAGCTGTCTGCGCGTCCTTCGTACCTCTCACATACTTCTTTGGCGTTGAGACTTCCGGACGTACACTGGAGCAAATCGACATTATGTTCTACGAGAACCCGAGGCTCTGCATGGGACTCAACAAAGAGAATCGAACAGTTGTAAGGGCGAGTAAGTCAGATGAGGAGAAGAGATACAGGGAGTTTGCACATGCCAACGAGAAGAACCAAGCTGTGATGGCGGAGAGGATAAGCCAAGATGACTAGATCGTGTTGTCAGATGCAAGGGGGAGAGTGTGGAAGGTCAATGCACTGTGTGAGCCGAACAATGTGCGACGACAATTTCGAATTATCGAATATCAATTAGCAACCGACTACGTTCAATTATATGACGAGTGGATCTACAGACTACCACCAACTACATGATGCGTCCAGACACCGACTACGTTCAACTAAATGCCGTGTCCATCTACCTTCTCCGCCTCTTTGATGTGGAACACAATTTGCAAGTGCCTAGATTCTGGATCCGCGAAATCAGAAGCAACAATCTTGTCGACAACCCGACGACCCAACCCCTCCCTATGCTGTACCAGTAGGTAGGCGGTACCAGCTCCTTCAGGCGTTCCAAGTATCGCTAAGCCTTCATCTGAGTCTGCATCAAACTCGTATTCGAGATAGGGCCCAGATTCGCGCGGCTGAACTCCAGATGTTACATGCTGCACTACCATTTCAGACGCAACACTGTCCCCGTAGTGAGAGACGGTGCGTAACACAGGCTTTGGCGACTCTTTGCTTGTAACATGCAGCCAAATGAGGTATGCCATGTCGCTCCAGTGCATAGTTTGGGCAACAGCGTAGGTACTGTTGCGTGCGCCGGCTGGTCTACGGATTTCACCAAACCCGATGCCAACGCGTGAGGCGCGTAGTTAGCCGCCGATTCGATCATGCCATCATCAAGATATATATTATTGAGGAACCAGGCGTCGGTGGCCAGGTAGGTCTCACCGTTCCTGGCAGTTTCGAGCACATGTTGCGCCGAACACATAATCCCTATCCGGGTGTCGGTTTTAACATCTAGAACATAGCCCCACTCTTCAAGGTCGGAGACCGATTTGAATTCGCTCTGGGGAATGCTGGGCTGGTCAGAATGAGCCTGTGTATGCAGCATTTTACCTTTCTCCAAAGCCTTGGTGTACGCTGTTAGACATTCGTCATCAGGGTACTTGAATCGCTCGCCAGTAGTTCCTGTAGACATTGTTTATTCGTGCGACTGTAAACGTCGAGAGTTCTTTGATGGTGCTGAGGGTGCGAGCGGAACGATAAGAGCGTCGAGAATCGTGATCGTATTTGTCTGCTGGTCACTGATAGTGAGAGTGCAATGGTGAAATCGTGACGGGAAGAGCGGATAGCCTTTATGATTACAGCTTTCACCTCCGTGTGAATCGGCAGTGTGTATGTTCAGCGGCTGATTCACATTGGTTTCTCTGCACGGTGATATGCCCATAAACCATCTGGGTTCAGTAGTAGTCAATCACCCTAGTGAAGTACTTCCATTGCAAAGCCTGCTTCTTTTCGCGCGTCTTGTTGCACGGTCAGCATTCTTGTGTAAATAAGGCTGCGCTTCATGCTCCAGCGCTTTGATAGCCCACGCTGTAGGCACACCTCTGCTGCCAATTCTCTTATGACTTCTGCCAAACCGACACACCCATCCAATTTCCCATCCACCGTCACATTCTTGTAGCTCTTTCAAATATTTAATATCGGGCTGCGCCCACACCCCAAGCTTTTGGCAAGCCAGAACACGTGCAGCGACAGCGAAAGAGTCCCCACGACGGCCAACGTAATCTCGAAGCGCAGCAGCTGTAGGCTCACCGAGAGACCGAATTTCGGGCGCGGTATCATTTGCTTCTATAAGACAAGACAAGAAGTATAAGAAGATATCAGCAGACAGATACACGTCTGTTCCGTCAATGTAGCCAGAGTTTAAAAGGATGCGACGAACGTAGTCGAGCTCGGGCTTGACATCTGCTCCACGGTTGTACTTGTAGAAGACGCGGATGACGTTAATGAGGACGACAGGATCTAAACGAGGCCGCTTGTCGCAGAGATATATCAAGGCGACCCCATCTTGCGCATGTCTATTCTGAAGCATGCGATCCAGTACGGGGTCAGCCGAAGAAGAAGGTGGTGAGAATGCAAGCAAAGCATTTGCAGTAGTGTCGACATCATCAGGGTCTAGATAGCATTGTAAGATTAGCATTAGTTCCATAATGATAAGCTCGTCGAGCAACTTACATGTCTTCGTCGTACCAATGGGAGGGCCGTTGAAGTAGTTCCACATCTTAGCCTCTTTGCGAGCTTGGCCAATGGTGGCTTCAACCTCATCAGGCTCAGCATTGGATGGCGAAAGGCTGAGAAAACTTTCATCGGCTAGCTCATAATGAATGATGAACTGGGAGAAGAATTCATGAAGATCAGGGCCGTTCTCGATACGAGATATATGTTTTCCGGCATTGTTGGCCATGTACTGACGAGCTCGTTTGACGGGGTCGAATAGTTGGTTGCGCAGTTGACGCATGAGCTTATCTCCAGACTCAAAGACGATACCTTGGATGCCGAAAGAGCGAGCCGTATTGACCTGCCCATGCTTATCATCGACGAAGATTGCAGATGCTGGGTCGCTACATCCGATACTTTTGAGGACATGCTTGAAGAAACCGAGCTCAAACTTCGTCATACCGGCCTCATAAGACGTGTAAACGCCGTCGAACAGACTCCAGTCAGACAACACGGCTTGGAGGCGTGTGAAGTCGTCTCTAGCGATGTTGCTCATTGCGTAAATCTTGAGGCTTTTGTTCATCTCCACTTTGAGCTCTTTGAGCTTTTTGAGCAGATCATGGTCGACACGTAGTGTTTTGCGACACTGCTTGAATGCTTCGCTTATTGTTGCCGGTTCAAGAGATAATTCCTCGCCAATAATTTCAAGAGCTTCAGTCTCGTCTATGTGACCACGCTCCAATTCGGCCCATGTTGGTGACAGGACAACTGAATGGAAGTTTTGAGGTGAAAGAGCAGTCAGGTTGCGGGTCGACCAATGGAATAGGACGTCGCCAAGATCGAGGATGAGTGTGCGCTGTTCTGGTGGCAGCATTGCTGTGGAACCTACATAGTAGTGTAGTTAGCTTTAGGTAAGGATTATTAACCAAATGCATGGATATATTCGGTACCTGTTGAGATTAAGACGATGATTGTAATATTATTCCGCCTGGCATGTTAGCCAAGTGGGGTTCGCGTCTTTTATAACAAAGGACTCTGAGGATTGCGATCTCTCTCATTGATGAGGAGTACCTTTGCGTATGTGGTGGTTATGTATTTCGGGAGTCATGAGTGGCTCGTCTCGCTCTGCGTCATCGCAGTACCATGGATGGGATGGAAGAACCGAACTTTGGAATCGCACACCGAAGTGAGTCAACCGTGGAGGAATATAAAATGCGCACCTCATTATAACAAAGGATTCAGCAGCCTGTCTCTTACGTCTCGATAGGCCACCAGACATATGGAAATTCCGTCGTCGAGCCAATGAGATAACAACGCCTTACCGTGAGAATTCCGAAGGATTCGCCTCGCATGCGCTAGACGAGGGGAGAGGGCAATCGGGCGATTCTACCAGTACCTACGATTGAGAGCATTACCGCCGAGAAGGTACTGTATCCCTCAGGCTTATTCCTTGATCCCGTTCCATTTTTTTTACAGTTCGTCTGACACTTCAAGTCGTGTCCTTGATGATTACTTGCTAGAGCGACACTCTCATCGTCCGGGAGGATAACACTCGTTAGAAGCGCGATTCAAGATTAAGTAGCCGCATAAGTAGCGGCAAGCGCTACCACCCTAGATTCAGACGAATCCGCTGAATCGGTGATAATTGATATCTCCTGAACCTTCCATAGTTGACGCTAGATCCTGCGTGGCGAGCACACAGTCCTGCGTATCCTATCGCATACGTGCGTTGGTACGTGACCTGTCACGCCATGCATTAGGACAGTTAAGACGCGCGCTGCAGTATGATTGATCGGAATCAAGATCAACTATTATGTACATGGCTTTGCGTTGGTGCTGAGAAGGTGTTTCTGGTCATGGAACCGATGGATCTTGATCCTGGCGGTGGGTACTCATACCCCGCCACGTCAGCATCTGTTTGTAGACTTGCCCGGCCGTCATAGTGGTTTCCGTGAACTTCAATCTCGGCGGTAGCATACACGCTTGCGAGTGGTCAAAAAGAGGCGATTGAGGCGAAACATGTTGGTTCCGTGCCTCAGCTGCACGTCTGCAGGCAGCGAGGCTCGTGGGCTGGCCGGTCGTATCCGGCAGGTTTACCGCACGGACGGAATCAAGGCTACCTAGGTAGGCACGAGACGCCCACAAGTCCATCTCAACCGCGCTCAACGATGAAGGACCCTTTCGATGTACAGTACGACAGGTCAAGCATATGGTCAGAAGGAAAGTGTAATATAAACACACTCCATCATTGGCTTTCTCCGCTCCGGATGTCAATGATCATCCATTCTTGGAATGGCGTCACCTCTGCTGAACCACCCGGGCATTTTCTTACATATCTGTTCGGTCACCCAGTACTTCTGCATCAGTTTGGAACAACATCTCAAGTGGGGGTTCCCTCTCCCTGACCAGAAAAATCAATCAGTTCCGGTGCAATCCCCTCGTCTTCTTGACATCGACTCTTGCTCAGCACAAGTTTGTTGTCTCACACCTTCTAGAACGCCCATCTTGGAACACATGAACCCTACGCCCATCCTCGAATCTTACTCTGCGTCTGGGATGTCGAATATATCCAAAATCCTTTGGGTCACATCTCAAGGCTTGCTGTTCCCTTTAGATTATAGCTCTTCATTGCAGACAGCCTTGTTGCGGCAGTCTAGGAGTGCTTTTTTCTTGGACGGAAGGATCAGCTAAAGAAAGAAAGATATAATTACGGTTGACGTGTTGCGAACACATCTGCATGCGACGAGTACCGACGTGCTGCAACAATGTTTTAACATTCGTCCAACTCAATCACAACGCTCGACAATCTCAGCACGTTTTGCTGAGACAAGGCATGATACAAATGGAACCAAAGAGAACGATTTGCTTTGTGGATCAACTGTCGCACGTTGAGGCGGAGTTGCAAGTGGTGAGAAGAGAAGTTGTTAGCAAAGAGGTCCTCACCGGCAAGAATGACTGTAGTTGTAGGTCCAATCGCCTTGCGACGTCCTCCATCACCGGGCTTCGCATGGGCTTCGTCTTCAGCCGTGTCGAGATGACTCTCTGCTCAAAGCTACTAGCACAACTACCCCAACTATCCACTTTGCATCTGCGCTCTATGAATTTTCATAGCATGGTGGATCGAGTACGTGCTTTGAAGGCCCACTCCTCGATGCCTTCAAAGCTTCGCGTGACTGGTCTGATATCTCCGTGTACGGATGGTTGGGCGCTATTTCGACCAAAGAGGAAGCGCTAGTGCGAGAGCAGATGTGGCGCAGCCCCTGAAGTGGTCTGTTCTTTGGCGAACACCACGAACATCTGGGTCATGAACAGTCGGACAGAATGCAAGACCAGCGTACGGCATGTCTACAATGCGTTCCATGAACCATCTCTGGTATCCTGGGGACAGAGACAGATGAGGTACTCTCGCGAGGCGTGTATGGGCTCATTCGCCGCAAGGTTTGCTTCACTATTCACCTTCCAATCCACTTTGCTTCCGCATGCTGACTTTGCTGCGCGACGGCGTACACAAGTTTCGCTCTGACGGTCAATGATCAGCCGAACTGAACGTGCGTCAAGAGGACGGGATCTTTTCGAAAACCACGCTATTGGACACGCAATGGCCACAAGGTCTAGAATGAAGTGTTAAAATAGACACAGGAATCTTATTGGATACTGGGAGCACATTTATCATTCTTACCTTAAACGCCTACAGACAAGCTCACCTTTGACAGCGTATGCCGGGGTATCAAGCTTTCTGCCAAGTCGGGAAAGGCCCACTCAAACAGTCCGCCGTTGAGGGGTTCAGCATGCATAAAAGTACGTTTGAAAACTCGGTGAGCGGACTTCTTGTAAGACAGAGTCTCACGAGTGTCGACTAGAGGACGACTGCACGACTGTGTTCAAGATCTCGACAATGCCCTTCCTTCCAGACTTCGTGCAGCTCACGATAGATCGGCCCAAATGGCACCGTATAACTCCGAAGCTTGTACTTCGTATTCGTACGTACATTCGAGTCGACCTCTACCTCTACCGAACGGTATGCTCATGCATTGCGCACGTGTCGCATTCTAGAGCTCAACACCCTCGGATTCAGGGTACCAAGTAAGCAAGCGAGCGGCAGACTCTACCGTCCCAGTATCTCAGGGGCGTGTGTCTCTCAGACCAGTCTACGCACTGGGTGAGTATATATGGACGACGGTGTCTCGCAGTCCATATACTCATCCACATCTTCTCTCTAATCATCAACACCTCTTTCCTACACTCTTTTTTTTAATATTATCTCACCCCAGTCATTCGTTATACACGATCTTATTACATCTAATATCTAATTTTAACAACACTCATCATCACCATGAAATACGCACTCATCTTCGTTGCCACTGCCGCTGCCCACGAGGCCTACGGTGGATACGGTGCGCAAGCAGAGTCCAGCTCCGTCGTCAAGCCGAGCACCTCCGCGAAGCCCATCGGATACACGACTATCGTGCCCGGCTATGGCAAGCAACCGGTAACCGTGACCACTCAACATCAGCCGTACCCCACCTGCGTGTCCCCCGCCTATGGTGGTAAGGACTGCGCCAAGTGGGATGAGGATGCCTACGTATCAACTGTCATCAAGGACTACGACAACAACTACGCTACGATCACCAAGACCGCGCAGCCCGTTGTTGTTTACCACACCAAGAAGACCATCACCCACTCCGCTACTGCAACAGGCGGCTACGCGGCACCCACTGGTCTCGCCCCTAAGAACGGCACTGACGGCTGCTGGTACGAGCTGTACGAGAAGATTGAGTCGGTCCCATACAACCAACTCGGTCCTCACGCACTTCCCGGATACCCCGGTTCCGGCCTTTACAAGGAGGGCGGGCAGAAGCAACCCGTCAACGTCAAGGAGTACAAGGGCGGAAAGTGGTCCGAGTACGTCCACGAGTACTCTTACGGCACTCCTAAGCCTGAGGTCACCACTTACGAAAAGCCTGGTGTCTACACTGTCCCAAGCAAGGACGTCACCGTTGAGCACCCCGTCACTTACCCAGCTGAGGCCACAAAGACTGCGAAGGCTGGCGAGACATGCACCTACGGAGGCCAGTACATCGAAGCCAAGCAGACTGGCTACATCACGGGCGCTTACGGTGCCTACGAGACAAAGGTCAACGGTGGCAAGACTGTCACCGAGACAGTGATCAAGCACACCACAATCTATGCCTCCACCACCGGCAACTACGAGGTCGCGAAGCCCACCACCACCGTCTACGACCACGACACTGAGGTCGCATACCCCACCGCTAAGCACTACGAGGCGGGTGTCTACCACCATGAAGCTCAGACTGTCACCATCACCAAGCCTGGACAGGCCTACACTTGCGAGTACGAGCAGACCAAGAAGCACGAGGCCACCTCAGCGCCTGCGAAGAGCAGCGGTCATGCGGCCTACCCTACATCCGCCTCCGCTCCCGCTCACGACAACTCTTACGGCCACAACAAGCCATCTGCTACTCCCAAGCAGCCTACTGAAGGTGACAACAAGTACCCCTCCTACCCCGCCGGTCCGATGAACGGACAGTCATCCTCAGTCCACGAGGCCTACCCAGATTCCACTCCTTCTTACCCCAAGAAGCCTACTGAGGGCGAGAACAACTACCCCTCTTACCCTGCCGGTCCAGCTCAGGGTCACTCCTCATCTTCGGTTCAGGAGTCTTACCCAGCTTCCACTCCCGCTGGTGTCTACTCCAAGCCATCCTACAACGGCGGCAACGCCTATGGCAACAACGGAAAGTCTACCATGGCCACCGTCTCCACCAAGGAGTACCCACATCCGGAGTCCACCCCTGCTTACGGCACTGATTCATCAGTGATGGCCAGCTCCACCCCCTGCGAGAGCAGCACTGC